AAGTAAAAATGTTTGAGTGTTATAAAACAAATTCTGACATCTCTAATTTCTTTTATAGATATCTTGATAATCAGACAGGCGATTGGCTGGTAAAAGTCACAGGATACATGTATAAACTAAAGGCTTATAATTATGATTGCAACATGAGCTAAATCCAAGACATTTTTTTTAAGAACAAGCAATGATTTGGGCATCTGCTGTGTTTTTTAGTTGAGTATATAACCTTGGTGATGTATGTAGTACAACTAACAGTTTGTATTTCAAGCATTGGTCAGTAGCTTGGATGCTAGATGTCTGCTTTTTCAGAGCATCCTATGTCTCTTTATCAGCTGATCTACATTACATTGATACACTTTTATTTCATTCCGGCATCGGTATAGACTCCATGTACCTTACTCTGTCCAAAATGTTGGGTGAACAATTGCCCATCATGAGGGTAATTATGTGTATGACCAAATTTGGGGCCAACATTTATGCCCAACTTGGTTAAATTGTTTCACAAATCGAAGTTATATTTTGCTTTAAATTGAGTGAAGAACACCTGAGTTAGGATTTAAATTGCCCCAAACTATACAACTGACCTTTGCAAAGCGTTGCATGTATCTCTACAGATGATGCTAGGGTGTGGGGTAGGATCTTTAATCAAATCATTTGATCACCTTTCTTGCCTTAATGTAATGGAGTTTACTTTGCTTTAGACTTCCATGAATACGTTGGTCTGGATTTCATCTTAAGGAGGCCAGAAATCCTTGAAATTGTGTCTGGTTTTCTTCCCAACGAGGGCAGTGGTTTAATTTGTCTAACCCTCGCGTCTCCTAGATGCTATGCTAATGAACTCATATTAGATTGATATCTCTACACTATTTGCATTGTCCACCTTGAATTTGTTTTAATTCCCCTTTATTTACTTCCCTTTTCTTTTCTTCTGCTGCAAGAAAAATGCAATTTTCATTTGCAGGAATAGTTTGGGAATTTTATATGTTTAGGAGTGTGATTCTCCTGTAGCGATATATATTGCACTCTTTATTTTTATTTACCTCACTTTGATATTTGTTATAAGTTTTTTGAGCTTTCTGGAGCTAAGTTCCTCTCCACTCCCTATTACATCTGTCAAGGTATAGTCTTCATTCATGTTTTCTTTCTCTTCTCCTCCCCATCCTCTTCTCTGTTCTATTTATCCTCTCTCATTCTCCCTCTCTCATTCTCCCTCTCTCTTGCTTTCTCTATTTCAATCCCTTCTATTTTTCATATTTTTCTTTTCAGTTAGTAAACGTCTTTATTTTCTTATAATTTGATTTCAATGCTCTTTTTAGTCTATTTTTCATAGTAATGTCAAGTTTCTGCTTACGTTTCCTCAAATTCTCTCCATCGCTAAGAGTTTTTCCTAAGTCACAGAGTAATTAGTGAGATGGGAATTGATAAGATCTTTTCCAAACTAGGTCATGAGACAATCCATTGGAAAGATTCGTTCAGGATCCTATTAATGACCTGATTATACTTTGTGAATGAGAATGAGACCAAAGGGGAAAGATTATATCAAAGTTAGACCCCATTTTAATCAGGCCATGTAATGTAAAACCCCTCTGAGATCAATCAACGCTTCGTCTTATTCCCTTAATAACGCCAAACATCCTATAGTGTGTCTCTTAGATTTCCAGCCACTTTATGTTTCTGAAATTGTTTTTGAAACATAATGAAAATTTTGTCAAGTCATTAGTTATCTAAATGACTTTCTGAAATTCTACGCTGTCTATTCAAGCACATTAGTTGCTCTTAGATCTATATTGATCTTTGAAAATCTATGTGAAATACCAAGTAATATCCACATAGCTGTATGGTGTGGTTAAAAGAATGCTAAAAAAATAGGAAAATAGTATATCATTAAGACCATCTGTGCTGTTGTGGAGCACTATTAATTAATAATTAATATTAATTCATAGTAGAACGGTCCACCTTGAAAAGTTACAGGTAGGTTTTAGCAGTATATAATTTGATCATCGCAGAGTATATGTATCAAAGGTTCTTTTAATCTAATTAGTTTTCTTGGAATAGGCAATCAGGCAATCACCATCTGTCTCTTCATTCAAAAAGGGACTTAAAAACATTTCTTTTTTGTAATCCAGATTTTAGGATTCTGTAAGTTTTCTTCTTGTTGTAAGCACTTTGGGCTGCTCTGGGAAAAGCGCAGTATATAAATAATGATATAATGATAATAATGTTATTCATGACAGAGCCTTGAGAAATGTTGATGATGGTTTGTTTATGTTGTTTGTAAGTGAAATAGGGATTGGGAGATGGCAGGGAGGAACAAACTATCAGTTAGAAGCCAGAAAGGCATTAACTCATACACTTTAACAGAGTTAACGCCGTAATTCTGGCTCCAAACAGACGAAATCATGTTTAGATGCATACCGATAAAAGATGAACATATAAGAGATTGAAATGGAAAGATGTGTGGATACATTTGGAACAAGAGAGGCCTAAAAATAGAGAAGTTAAATACAGTAGTTCAATTTCTTTTTTGGAAGGGGGGTGGGGAGGAGCTAAAAGATGGCCATTTAGCCAACATGTGTGGAGTGTCATATATTTTGTCATTTTATGCTTTGATTTATCATCTGTTTTGATCGTTATTTAAAGTGGCATAAGTCATAACTGGCGCCTAAAGTCCATTCAAATTGTCACGTCCTGCTTCTTCTTCTCCATACCCACTGCTTAGCATCATCACATGTATGCTGCATCTCTGTCTATAATGTAGGAATATTGGGAACTTTTGAGAAAAAGTGTCTATTTGTGCATTTGAGAGAGATGGGGGTGGGGGGGGGGGGGAGGGAGACCTTTTTTCCTCATCTCTCTCTGACTCTTTTGAAGTATATAACTTATATTGAGTAGGATGGGGGATGGGGTGGCTTGAGAATTACGAGCCTTTTAGTGTGTTCTTTTAAACTCTATATATGTCATATCATATTTAAGGTGACTAATACTTTTATTATGGTGACATTCAACCCCCAAGTGTATATATATGTTATGTGCTTTGTCAAGTGGACCTGTGTTCATAGATAGAGTATCTTCTACAGACCAGTATGAACACATCCAAAATGTTAAGCCATCTCTTAAGGCCCTAGCATATAGCACAATCATTGATTTTACAGATATGGTTTGGCGAACCCTTTGACGTTCTAGAGTTTCTCGGCATTAACTTGAGAGGAATAAATGTTTTCATGATGGATTTTCTCGTCCATCAATTGTCAGCAGCGGCCGAGAAATTTTTGACCAATTTTTCAATTTCGATGTTGAAATGCAGTGTTTACTTAACACAATACTCTTCAGATTCTCTGTTTTCATATGAAGGAATTCATGAATATATTTGAATTTAAACGAGGGAACTGGATGCATGGATGGAATAAAAGGTTTTTTAGTGACTTCCAAAAGAGTAGTGCATTCACTTATTGTTCTAGATCTACCTGTCTTTAAGTTTAGTCCAGTTAAATGTCTGTCTTATAAATAGAAATGGCTTAAATTTAAGTGAATCTTTAGCAGTAATACATCTTTACAAAAAGGGTTTAACAATTAAAAAGTACTCTCAGCATCTGCCATCACTGATAAATCTCTCTAGCCTTGATATATTAGGGGGGGGGGGGGGTTCTAATAAAGAAAAGCCTATATCTTATGATTTTATTCTCATTTGCAAAAACTATTGCAGTTAGAAAAACATGAATGTTGAATGCTGTATTGTTTCGTCATAGATATTTGATGATATCTTAAAGTGATTTCAGTGCTTTTTAGAAACTTTTTTTAAAACATAAATTTCTTGGAAAAGCCTTACCGGTACACCTTTTTCTAGATGTAATGTAAAATTTAATTGAAGTGTTACACAATTTCAAGAAAACTTGGCATATAGTCTTTATTCATACATGTGACAAACATGAATGATAGATTCTTTCATCTTTCATCTGATTACCTTTCATTCATTGATACAGGACGAAATTGGTAAACCATTTGATACTATACTCTTCAACATCCGTATCAATTTATCCAACTGTCTCTCTCTTGATCCCTTTTAGAATAGTTTGTAGAATCGGAGTAGAGATGATGGAAGCTGGAATGTGGAAAGGGCGATTGTTTAAGTGCTTGTTCTAATCATGGCCGCTGGGGATAGGAATGAGAGAGATACGTTATGTTCGCACGGCATCGTCATGGTTTCCAAACATTAAGTTAATGTAACCTCAAAGTTGTTAACCACGATCCACTAACAATGACGATGACCAAAATAACAAGTACACTGTTAACTATCACGCCGGGAAAGCATTCATTTTAACTACTATCTGGCGTAACCTCAAAGTTGATTGCATCCGCATGGCACTGTGATTTAGGACCTCCAGCTAGTTGTAGTTATCACGCTTACCTTAAGATTCGTCATGGTTTGTAACTTTGAGCTAGCTTCAAGTTACGTAACCATAAGTGCGCCCCCATGGTCTTTAACTATACAAGATAACTTCAAAATTAAAAACCACAATCTAAACTTGAAGTAACAAACTGTCGTGTAAACCTCACTATAGAAAGAGAAACAGTCATGGATACAGTGTACTAAGTCAATCCATCTTTGCTATCTAATATCAATTGTTGAATGTTGTATTAAGAATATAACCTTCCAGACTTGCAAGATTCACCGAACGAACGGTAGGACTTTGACTCATTTTATTGGGAATGTTTTGGGATTCATTAATTATTCATAACATGAAGGTTTTCCTGTTGATTGATTGGTGTGTGCAAAATGAGTATTCATGAGTAAATTGAAACTACAAGAAAAGACAAAGTCATGAAAAATAGATGGCATGTAAAGGAGTAGTGAACAGGAAGAGGATATATATAATGGGGCTTAAGAGAGGACATTTTAAGATTGAGAGAGAAACTTGGCATGTGTTTAAGTGATAGAAAGTGGAACTAGTATCAGCAATGTTTCTTTAAGAGACTCTAGATAGGAATGAATGCTAAGGTTAGCAATGATCTTGGTCAAGGCCAGAGTAACAATCTGTGTTAATACCTCTGGAAGAGGAAGTGGTGCCAGTGGTATTATCCCTTAAGGAATTGTCTGTCTGTGTCCTGTTGATAGTTTTTCAGTTTATCGTAAATAAGCTGAACTGTTCCCATTCCAACTTGAACTTTATTTTCCACTTTCAAAGGATTTAGGATCAATATAAAAGCAAGATAGCAGAACATTGAGGTATTTTTCTAGGTGAAATGTGTTACAGGCCATTCTTTATTAAACAAAACAGAATTTTAATTTTAAAATTCCCTTTGCCAATAATCATGGATGTTTTAGGGCAATCATTAAGTGAAATTTAGAACACCATATTAGTGACTGGTCATGTACAGTGATTTTTAATTCCGAGGTGAAATAAATGGAAAATAAAGTAGTAGTGACGGCATTTCTACAATGTTGGATTTATTACTGTAAAACATGTTGGTTGCAACAATCTGAGCAGAGTAGTAATGAGAATTTTTTTTTTTAAACGCTTTTTGCTCCTTTTTTTGTTTACAAATAAAAGTTGTCCCATCTGGAATCACCATAAATCAGTTTTCTTCTTGTTTTTTTATCATTTCAACAGGTTCATGAAACATACGCCCAAGATGTCTATGATAGGCGCAATGATGACATTGATCCCGTTGCAGCGTCAGCCGAATACGAACTTGAGAAAAGAGTGGAGAAAATGGATGTTTTCCCCGTTGACCTTGAGAAAGGTGAGTTGACCTTGAAGTGATGTTAGTCATAGGAGACGGAGAGACGATGAGAGAGAATGAAATGGAGAGTAAGAGAAGGAGCAATTATAGAGAGATAGAAAAAAAGGGAGAGATATATAGATAGAATGAGAAATGAACAACAATTAAATGGAGATATAGAAAAAGGGGTATGAAAGAGAGTTGGAGAAATTGGGGGGGGGGGGGGTAGGAAGAAATATAGAGAAATAGTGAGAGCAGACTAGAGGGATTAAGGGAGAGAGAAGGTGGGATAGTATGGAGTATTTAATGGAGTGAAAGAGAAGAAGGGAGAGATAGAAAGGGAAACTTTGAAAGTAAACATCCTGTTTTTAGTTGAAATGTAGTGGAACATGATAGGGGCAAAATGTAAGAACTTCAGCTTAAAAGCTAATGTAAACTGATAGCTCTGGAAATATACAACACCCAGACAAAGAGATAGAAAGAGAGAGAGAGAGAGAGAGAGAGAGAGCGAGAGAGAGAGAAGTGTATATGAATATTTCTTTCGTCATCTATTTAATAAGTTAGATCATAAATTCTAAATCAAATTAAGATGAAAAATTCTATACCAGCACATTACTAGACACAAACAAGGGCAGGTGGTAATGAATAATACAAGGAGTTAAATGCAAAAAAACACAGTTGTTATTCAGGTTTTTCTTTGAATTCAGTAGTATGATATTTAGGAATAAAATAAAAAAAGAAGAATGTTAATGAGAGAGAGAGGAAGAAAAATTTATGCCGATGATTTTAATGTGTTCACATCTACTGCTGATAACCAGGACCCTGTTTCATAAAACTTGATATCAATAACAAGTTACAAGCTACTGTTATAAGCTACTGAAATCATGGCATCTGATTGGCTAAGAGCAAATTATTCATATAAATTTAGCATTTGTTATAGATAAAAAGTTGTTTATGAAACAGGCCCCTGATTGATTGATTGATTGAAAAGGCTTTATTATGAATGCACTTTGCAGCCAAATGGCTCAATTATGTATGATTTATATTGGCAATGATGCATACAAATGTGGTTTGAAAAACAGATCAAATTTGAACAAGAGGCTATGCTGAAGGATGTTGAGCTATGTTGAGGGTTAGTTTACTAAATAGGATTACTGTAAGCTTACAGAGTCTAACTTACTTGATTGATCAGTTTGTAAATGAGATTATGAGAGGTGGCCTTGTCACTGGATCATGTTTCTATTTATGTTTCCTGTGATATATTGTTTTCTCACATAACCAGATGTGGTTCTCTTCATCATGTAGTGAGTGTACATTGATGAGTTGATTGATGTAAACAACTAATCAACTCTATTATCACATTCACTGCCTGCTCTGAATTGAACCCTTCATCCTCTATACAAGCACAGAATTCTTTTTAATACTTTAATACTTTTTAATACTTTTTAATTTGCATATTCAAAACAGTAGTAATTGTGTTGTTTTACATTGTGATCACAATGTGGTCTTACATTGTGATCACAGTGTGGAGGCTCTTTATACATTGTTGACAATCTTGAGACAATATCATCACAGTGTGGACTGTGAAGAAGGTAAACACTGTGGATACCCTTCATATGTTATTCAAACTCTTTAAAAGATATGAACACACTGTGGAGATGTAAACAATGTGGAGACTATTTAACAGTGTGAAAGTGGTGTGAAAACAGAATGATAATTGCATGAACAGAGTACTCTCTAAAAAAAATGGAGTGATCACAGACGTCACTCCTCTGGAGATTGAAAATGTAGTGAAAATAGAGTGAACATTCACTCCTTTTTTGTAGAGAGAGAGTATGGAACTTTGTGAGCACAGTGAGGAGACAGTCTGAACACTGGATAGAAACAGTGTCAAGTGTGGAAATATAATTATAAACACAATTAATTTCTCTCTTGTAAAGAATCAGGGAGTAAGTTTGTCTTTCTTGAACATTTTTATAATTTTGGGTAACAGTAGTACTAGGAGTAGAACTCATCACTAACTGTAGACATACATGTGAACTGGGTAATTCCAGTTTTATTACAACGTTTCCATGCTGGTAGGAACAGAGTCCAAGGAATGATCACTTACCGGCCAATTCACATCAACCAACACATATCAAAAGCATCGCAGTATGAACAGAACTAATGTAAGAATTAGAGAACCAGCTGTGTGCCGGCTGTAAATATTAATATTTAGAATGTTTACTCATATCTTGGATTTAAGGATACAATTTGATTCCTTTATCTCCTTGTCCTAATATCTTTGTTTTATCCCCGATCCAAATCTTTAGTCTATTTTGTGATCCCTAGATCTAAATGGGTTAATCTGCTTTTACTGCTTGCTAATGTTCTTTAATATCATCATTGGTCATTTTGAAAACATAATGCCAGACATTTACTCTAATAATGGATTGCAACTGCCATAATTGTGTGTCTTTTCCTATCATTTGATTTGATCTCCAACTATTTGACCCCCCCCCCAAAGGCTGATAAATAGAATAGATATACCTTATTCTATGTTGCTTCTCTTCATTAATTGGCTCAAATCACTACAAACTTCTTAAAATAATTTTTCTCTCTTGGTTGATGTTTTTAATGATGTCCCAAATGTAGACAGGTCTACGTACAGACAAATACATTATGATTTCTCTTTCTATTTTTCTCTCTCTCTCTACCATTTATAGTAAATTTTGTTGTAATTGCAGATGGTAACAGAAGATCTTGATGCAACATTTGTGCTTTGTCACTGCAAATGCGTATATGTTCCAGCTCGCATACTTTCAAAGTTGTCTGTGTTAAGACATCATTATCATCACTACTATCTAGGTCACCTTCATCATCCTTACTTGAATTCTCTTAAACAGAATCTAACTGAAGATTTTCTAAGGAATTGCTTTCCTCATTGCCAAATAGATTAAATGTAGCATTAGTTAGAAGGACTTAATCCAGTCACATTCTCTGTTGATTACTTCATGCTGTGCATCATCATACATCCATTAAACCTCAATGAGATTTCTATTTCATTCCAATTTTTAAAAGCTTTTCAATTTTCCTAATGGCACTGTCACAAAAGTCCATTCACATTGCTAGAAGTATTGTGGTATTCAATTTATTGTAGCTCATTAATGCCAAAAACCAGAAAGTGTAATCACACTTTGGCAATAGAGTTTGTTTAGTTTTTGTTTGTGTGTGTGTGTGTGTGTGTGTGTGTGTGTGTGTGGGGGGGGGGGGGGGGTTATTGTTGATGTAGATCCAGAATGATGTTGTTCCATTGCCAAAATATGTATTACATCATGACAGAGTTGTCCACTAATACTTTTGAGCAATATCTTCTCAGGCAGGCTTAACTTAATACAGTAGAATAATATTTTTTGTTTTCATAAGAAACTAATTACCAATTGCTGGGGGGGGGGGGAGTATTCTTTAATTCAATGTCTCAGTGTACTCAGGACTAATGGTAGTAAATTGTTCCATGATTTCATTGCTTGAAAAGCTCTGGGGTTGATTTTTAATGTAATGTCAACAAAAGCTTGCTGGGTTCTGTCCTTGCGTATATGTCATTCTGTCACTTTCTGTCAAGATTCTAATCCCTCGGGTGCTTATAATTTCACTCATCAAAACCTTGGCGATAATAAGCTGTCTTCTTGGCAAGGTATGATTCATTTAGTTCTCTTCTTTTTCTTCCATTTCATTTTCTAATATCCTGCAGTGATCTTGCATTGATCCCATGCTGTTTTACATCATTAAAGCAAATACATGGGACTGAGGTTTTAATTTCTACCAGCACACTTCCGCACCACTCTGTCTTAGCTGACCATTGATCCAGAATCACGAAGCTTGAAATTAATTGCTTGTCTGATCGGTCCTGATTTTTTGTTATAATTTTAATTTCCAAATTTCTCTAGAAAGTGTGCTGGAAAGAGAATAATAATGATAATGGTGTTCTTGTATAGCGCTCATATCTGTCAGACTTGACACTCCTGGCACTACACAATTACTACCCCGGCTGTAGCCTGGCTGCCATTACGACGCCTCTAGCATTTCAAGTAATTAATTCCTGCAAGAAAAATGCAGATGAAAAAAAAAATCATGAAGTTTTTTTGATCATATTAAGTGACTGGATAATCACTTTATTTTATAACGAAAATCAAACATTTTAGTACAGATTCATGCACAGATAAAATATGATATTTTAAATAAATTATACAATATAATTATTTTAAAAAATGAAAAGATTTAATGTATATTCCCCTGCATACTCAGGGGCCAAACTAGACATCATGCAGAAACACAAGTCCTATTTTTTTATCTTCACCTTTTTGTGTCAAAAAGAATATCAGCCATAACTCTCCACAAATATTTGATTCCATTACATGTACAGCAGTGGCACACTGCCTTGAGGCAGTAGTTAATACACAGGAATCATTCTCCACTATAACATGCACAGGGTATCCAAGGCTCCCCTTTTTACTTACATTTTCCACTTTAATTATTTCTTTAAAAAAAAAAAAATCATTTTCCACTCTAATTTTGCATGTGTGTACGTGTGTAGCATCATTTATCATTTTTTCATATTTATTTTTTAAAAGACAGTAAAATTGGAGAAAGGTCGTAGAAATTTGTGTTTTGTAGTTTGAGATAGAGGAGTGTACAGCTCATCCATATAACATACTTAAGTAATCAAAGCATACTGCATCTTATCCATGCTGACTTGTTCATTAACTGTTAAAGGTTTGTGTGCAGATTAATTGCATTTAGAGCGAAATACCTTCTTCTCTCTTGAGGATGTAGTCAATTGGAATGTTCAGGTATTGTTTATATGTGGTTTAGAGTCATATAGAAAACAAAAAGCACACAAATTGGGTTTTAATCAAACATTCTTCGAAACACAGATATATTCATATGGGAACAAAGAAAGAGTTCACAAATAAATAAAACTAATTAAAGACAATTATCAAAGTAATTATTGTTATATACCTCACTTAAGAAATCCAGCCATCTGATTGGTCGAATTGCATTCATAAACTTCAACTGTTCCTGTAAAATTCCCGGTAACCATGCATAAAACATTTCAATATTTTTAATAACCATGGTTATTAAAAAAATAGGTCAGTCTCCATGGTTACCCCATAGGTTTACATGTTAAAAAATGGTTTGAGCGATGGAGGATACCATACGTGTGCGAAAAATTGGTCGGCAATTTCAATACAATTGAATCTCGATCGATCTTACCGACAATTTTATCTTGCATTGTTGACATGAAGACGAAAATTAACTCTCAAAAACAAAAAAACAACATCTGCCGATAGATCTTGATCTAAGTTCGTGCCAATATGCATTGCAAAAGTAAAAGAAGGGTCCATTTCATGGAGCTTTTGCGAAGCATTCATCACACGCGAAGCCGGTTTCAATCCATTTTAATGTATATATCGTACAAAACTGCCAAGCATGTTAATAACGCGCGATGGCCGAGAGGTCTAAGGCGCTGACTTTAGATACATCAACTTTTGTACGCAAGAGTTCGAATCTCATCTTCGACCAAAAAAAAAAAAATTTTATTTTTTATTTTTTAGTCTATTTTTTTTCGGCATATAAAAGTATTAATGACTGCTTTAATATTCGAGAAATAGTTGTTTTCATACGCTCTCGGGAAGGTTACAATTGGGCTATTCCCCTCGGCAAGCCTCGGGGAATAGCACAATTCTAACCTTCCCTTGAGCGTAATAAAACAACTATTTCTCTCAAAGCAGTCATTAATACTATATTATATTAAGAGAACAATTAAAGACCATAAAAGCATAGTTTAAAACAAATAATCTTGTGTAGTACACTATTCGGGGTATCCAGAACTGAACTTTGTCTTTAAAAATATGAGAGGAAGTGAAAAAGAATATAGAAATGCCAGGTTTCATAAAGAATGGATCGCCCAAGGGAGGCTCATGTAATCTAACCTTTTCGGGATGTTTTTTGCTTTTTGATAAGTTCACTGACTGCATGCTCACATTGCCATGATCAAATAACTTCTAAAGCCTCATTTTAATGTTCCATCAAACTCCTTTTTATTTTCGTATCCGTCAAGAAATTCTTTTTTTATGGTAGTGGTTATAGAAACAACATTTCTGAAAATTAACCATGGTGTGTGAAAAACGTGTTCAAAATGCTCACAGAGTAGTGTGCCAAATGTATGAATTTTAGCTGAAAATTATATTTTAATAAAAAAAATTCTTTAATGAGTTTCATCAGGTTTTCGTTCTTTCTGTGGAAATAATCTATCTGCTTAAAGTGTATTGTTATATCAAATATTGGTAAAAGCCTTACAACTTCAAATCATAAATGATGATTTTAATGAAATCCTAACTGTGATCAGACTGAAGTGTAATTTTGCATTTATTTTCATGTTGGAATTTTTGAAGGACTTTTATCTTTCATAGCTTGCATTTACGTTATTAATTATTCCATTACAAAATGTCATATATCATTCATTAAGCCCTATAATACTGAAGAAAAACCTTCATAAATGCTGATATTAATAGTTTTATCAATGAGAGGAGAATGATGAAAGCACAAAAGGGAAAAGTTTTTACCCTTTTTGGATTGATGTAGATGAAAGAGGTATATCCTTAGGAGGAGAATGCGGTGGTTTTCCATTGAGCGTGTAATAGAATCTGCTTTCTCAGCCGAATACCTATGAGTTGTATAGCTTCTCATGATAGCCGATACGTATCTGTCAGTTTATAAGCTCGGACACTAAGATTAGATGACGTATTGCCGAATAAAAGAATTCTGCTGCTTTTTGGGTAGTGCAACTGGTTTTCATGAGATGAGAAAGAGAGATTCCAGGAGGATAATAAGATGGGTAATCTGATAACATTTCAAAATGTTATCCATCATCTTTGGTAGTATTCCTGTATTTTTGTTTATTATCATATTTATTGGAATCAACTGAAGAGCATTTTGAGCGGGGAGTCTGAGGATTTCAATTGTATGCCGGCCCACTCCTATATCATGTAATTCAACTTAGTCTTCTTGATACGAGTGTAATTCATCAAAGAATATTGTGAAAAACAGAAACACATTTTTTTAAGGGATTAACTAATGTCTCTAAAAGCATTAAAAGTATAAGAAAAATATTTTATTGTCTAACACTTAACAGATCAAAATTCTACATATCAGGGAGGAAAAAGTGAAAATTTTCAGTAGAATTCATAATCTTACAACATATTTACTTCTTAATTAAGAATTGTTGTCAATTCATAATTTTGACGCAATCAATTATAACTTGTCTAGTAAGAAAGTGGCAGTATATTTGAGGGGGTGGGGTTATAGTTAAAAAGCCTTTTGTCTGCACAATACCACAAGCAAGAAATATACCTATGAATACTCATAGGTATAAGGGTTGTGAACATCTAAAACAAAACAAAAATGCTATATTAGGATGATTGTGTCTTTTGATTGGGTGGACATATGGTCAGTTCTCTCTCTAGAGATATTAAAGCACAGGAGATGAGATGAAATGAAAAGATCTCAAGAAATTCCCTAGAGCTCTAGGATTTTGATAAGTGGATTGATCCCCACCTCTATCTCTTCATCTTGTATAGATAAATGATTGATTTCACAGAGTCATTAAATTATGATTGATAGTTTTATTAAAGTCTGATATATTAAGGTATACCCAAAGGGTCATAGAATAAGATAGGTCTTTAATAATGAAGCTTTATTCCAGCCAGAAATGAGATGAATAATGGTACAAAATGAAGAAGAATGCACACATCATGAGATTGTAGGGTTTTAAACGAGAATGTAAAGGAGAGAGATGGAAATAGAGAAGAAGAAAGGTACATGAATGAAGAAGAATGCACACACCATGAGATTGTAGGGGTTTAAACGAGAATGTAAAGGAGAGTGACGGAAATAGAGAAGAAGGTGAGAAGTGAGAGAAGGAGTTCAGTTTATGTCAGCCTTTATTCCAAGCTCTTGATTTCTCAATTGCTCATGTCTGGAGTTGCACGGTTATTTGCGGACATGTAAGAGCATTTCAACAACCCTCAGTCAAAAATATCAAAGTGCTACCACTCAACACCATCGATATTTTCTCCTTTTCTCCTTTTCTCCTTTTCTTCTTTTGGTCTTTTGTTCATTCCCTATGTCACATATTCTCTCTCTACATTTTCCCTCTCTACATTTTCCCTCTCTACATTTTCCCTTTTCTTTAGGATTCTTAATTTGTGTTTCAAAGAATGTTATTATAGGTTGCCATGAGAGGTTTTCTGCATATTTTTTCTGTGTCTGGTTCAGCAATGTGAAAGTGTAGAAACAGATTTTCAAACTTTTCAGTTGCAGGAATCCAGCAAACTTATCATTTATCAAAATGATGCTTTCATGCTATACTCTCCTAACACTAGATAGTAATTCTTTTCCATGAACACCATTAGGGTGAAAATTACCATTTCTTATTGGTAATTTGAACTTGTCGCCAATAAATTTCAGGGTACATTTCCAATTTAAAAAGATCTTGTAGGTACTTTTATCTTGATGACTTAGAATCTCAGGTTTTATCTGAGATAAAAAGAAAGTTCAGAATACCCCCTGGAGTCTCTTTAACAGTTTTTTCATCAGTTTTTTTTTCTTCAAATTAGTTTTCTATGCTAAATAGTCTAAACTTACTTCTCTCTCTCTCTCTCTCTCTCTCTTTCTCTTTTTCTCTCTCTCTCTTTCTCTTCTCTCTCTCTCTCTCTTTCTCTCTCTCTCTCTCTCTTTCTCTTTCTCTTTTCTCTCGTTTTTTTATCTCTTTCTCTCTTTCTTTTTCTCTTTCTCTCTCTCTTTTTTCTCTTTCTCTTTCTCTCTCTCTCACTCCCCCCTCTCTCTCTCCCTCTCTCTCTCTCTCTCTCCCTCTCTCTCTCTCCCCCTCACTTTCCATGTTTCACTGTCTCTCTCAAACAGACACACACACTCGTACCCCTCTACACACACACATTCTCTTTTGATCTGCTTTGATTTGTACTATCCAAGCGATGATATTTCTTTTTCTCTATCTGTAAATCCAATTGATATTCTATTCCATCTCTTGAGTAATTTACATCATGCTAGTTCGGAGACCCCCAACTTTAATTTAAAATCAACACATTCATACAGGGTGCCCTTTCGCATCTTTCCATATCACTTATAATATATATGTTGATTCAGTAGAGGTTGCCCGGCGCCTAGTGGGATGTATATTCCTGATAACACCATACATGATTGTCGATCCAGCCCCACTTTGGTGCCATAAGGCTCCCGACTGATAAATGGTTATTATGAAATGTTTGTGTATCTGATACCGAGCTGTCTATGGATATCTTTTATTTAAAAAGATGATTACAAAACCTTAAGGAGGCAAGACTTAAAATCTTCACTATATTGTTGGTCAAAGCCATATTTAGATTGTCTATGGGAACCGAGTGGTATATGTGGTAAGCCTATGGAGTGACAGAGTTCAGTAGTCAACAGATTAATACTTATGCTTAAAAGTCTTTTCAGTAATAGAAGTAGCATCAAAATAGGTTACATAAATCATTTGTTGGGAGAATTATTTATTAGAAAATACAAATCTATCCTGATGCATTGCGGTAGATTGCCCAGTCTCGAAACACAATATCTGTTTTTAATAGTTCTTTCATGATTTAACTCTTTGTTAATTTAACTTTCTTTTCTTGTTGCAGGATCTGACGGTCTAGGTCTGAGCATCATAGGTATGGGAGTAGGAGCAGACGCAGGCCTAGAGAAGCTTGGTATCTTCATCAAGACGATCACCCCTAATGGAGCCGCACAGAGAGATGGAAGGTAAGAAACACTCCATTTCAGTTTCTTTCATCTTATACCCTTCATATATACACTGTCCGAGTCTGGACTCGGTCCATAGCGTTAGATATACCATGGACCTACGTTTGTTCGTAGTAGGTCCATGGGTCAATATACCCACTTGATTCGCATCTCAGATCATGCTACCGGTGTCACTACCGGTCATACTTGGAGCAGCTAGAGCTCATCTCATCTGCCATGCTCATTTGTTTCCATGGATGCAGACAAGGACGGTCCTAATATATCCATGATTTCTCATTTTTTTACCCACCAACCTGTTGTAAAAAAGGACAGGAGATAATTGAGAAGATATCTTGATCTTGAGATCTTCATTGAGTAGTGCACATATCATTCATATTGTAGAGAATGCAATTCCGGTGTAGATGAAGTTCAGACTCAACCCTTCTCTCAGAATTCTTCAAGAGTCTGGCACTGAAAGTGGATCGATATATGATGCTGCATGATACTGTTCTTATTAGAGTTGTGTCTGGACTGAGTGCATGCGGACTCGATCCTCTTCTACCCCTCTATATACCCTTCATATGAAAGGGGTATATATAGGCGCGTCTTCATCATCTCGAGATTGCCAAATAGCCCGCTATTTCTGATTTGGGAATTAATCCCGAAGTTACAAATCGCATCTTCATCAGCTCGAGATTCGACCTCAAAACTTGAAACTCTTTTGCTCAGCGTTCTTGCATAGTATAGTGCGAGTCTTCGGTCTGGTGAAGACGCACCAGACAAATAGCTGGATATTTTGCCAACCACCCAAGATATCTTGGGATGACAATCCCCACCAAATATCCCGCTAATTGGAACTTCGGGCTGATGAAGACGCAAATTAGCTGGATAGTTTGCGATCGGGATAGTTCAAATAGTGGGATATTGGTAATCTGGAGCTAGTGAGGACAGCCTTATGAGGAATTGAATTATTCCTGGTTGTTATTGCAATAATTGTGAAAATAATAATAAGGCTAATATTCCTGAACATATGCTCAATTGGATTTATCCTTGAATATTTAATGACATTGCCTGGATGGCTACTTATCTGCATCTTCCATACATTGTACTAAATCTTTTCTATTGCTGTATGATGTTGCCATTGTTATTTTGTTATATTATTTTTGTATTTTGACACTGTTGTATTATGTTGTTAATATCTGATTGCTTTGTAAAACATACAATATCAGCCTTCAGCGATTTTTTGATAAACCAATTAAAAAGAGGGGAAAAAGGGTCTGCTTGAAATCTATAAGCTAGGCTGATGTATAAAGTAACTGCTTGATTCAATATTCTGATGGACACTTTCAAATGAACTGTTGGGTCCAGCTAGCATAAATAGCCCTAGGGTTTGGACAAATTGCTTCACATTTTGATGTTACTTTCCTTTGAATTAGGGCATCTACGGTTGTCTATATGATCTTATAATATGTTTGTATTCACATATTCGACTGATATGCAATAACACATCTGATGGAGATGTTCTCAACAAAGTTGACCTTATGAGGGCTATCTAATGAGGAAAAAAGACTTACTGTATGCTTGCTTTCAATTTTGTCAGAATTTGAGGAGCATATCACAATATGTAGTTCTCCACCTTGGCAATATGGTCTCATTATGGCCTGGTGAAACTCTACTCAGAAGGATATAGTGTGAATTGCTTTCTTATTGTTTATGAGCAAAGTGCTGCGCTTTTTTTTCCACAGAGCATTTCCTTGCCCATCAAAGAGCAATTGTCAACGCGTAGGCATATCTGTCATCTTAGAAACAAATCGTCTGTTTGGAGCCAGAAGGATGTTAGATATTATACTTTAAAACAGATTTAGCGCCCTTATGGCTCGAAACAGACGATATATTCTCATTATGGCCTGGTGAAACTCTACTTAGAAGGATATATTACAAATTGCCTTCTATAGTTTAGGCATGCCCTCTCTGTAACTGACCTATATTGCCTTTCTATTTTATCACAGACCTATAAAGCTGCACAGTATATATCAGCAGTGGTTTTCTTCAAAAAGTTATCTTTTACTTTACTTTAACATATCTTGTACTTCCCGGGAAACATTTAGAAACTCTTCATCTCTTCAGCCTTCATGTGTGACAAATGTTATGGAAGCACACTCTCACAAGGTTCTTCTCTTTATTAAAGTTTTGGTAATATTTCAATAGGATTAGATTATGAAATTTAAAATTTGCATTAACATTGTGAAACCTAGTGTTAGAATAAGCAACTTTGAGAAAATTGGGCTCTAAAACAGTAAGGATTTCGAGAAATTAAAATAGCTGGGACCATGAAAATCTCTGAATATGCAGTTCTGATATCTAATTTCCAAAAGGGAATAGAAAATCAGTTGATTTTAGTTAAGAAACATTGTTTTTAAGCTAAAGTAATATGAATCTCGAAAGGGAGCTATACAACATAAACAGTTAATATTCACAATTTCATAACTTTAGACTCAATTTCAACCAAGACAACCATCATTGAATATTGTAGGATCATTTATGCTTCCAATATGTTCATTTGAACCATATTCATGACCCTATATACCAAAACTTTGTATTACCTTTAAGAGTGCAATTTCAGAACCTGAATTTGAATCTGCCATTTCTCTTTACAGATGCTCTATTTGAAATTGATATTCTGAACATTGGATATCAAATGGAAACCCTAACATTTGTATTAAAAAAGTAGGTGATAGCTAGGACCCTTTTAAGTCTGCCTTAAAAGTACTATGTCCCATTTGCAGGCCAACAAAAATGAAAAGGTTAAATTCCAACGGCATTTGAAAGGGCTTGAAAATGTCTTGTTGTGGGAAAATAACAACCGTTAGTTGTCAAATCGAATTTAGCAATCGCTGGCGTTTAATTAAATAGTCTGATTTTGAGACCCTTCTACTGAATGGTCATAGGTTTGTGCTGCGCAAAGATTCAATCAGTTTAATTTTGGCCATTACAAGAATTGGGTTATTGATGTAGACAGATGTTCATGTATCCTTTACAGCTCATTTTATGCATGTTATTACCAAAGAAGAAAAGAGTCAGTCAGTCTTACAAAAGTGTCTGACAGTGAAGTCTAGAAAGTAAACAGGTTTCCTTGCATATTTGAATACTAGGACACTGCTAACATTTAAATTCCATAATTTCACAGGTATATATATATATATATGTGACATATTCATAATTCCTGCAAAGTTCTACAGAATTTGATGTTGGCTGCACAAGGGATACACTGCCTTTAAAGGGATTGGGTATCTTTCTTTGTCTCAGATTCTTAAAAAAATCCTGGATTTAGCTCATGCTGAAGTGATAATATAAACCTGTAGGTCAGTCAGGAATCCTTTGACTTTTACATGCCGATTACCTGTCTGATTATCAATATATTTATGTTTGGAATTAAAAAAATTCAAAACCGTTTTCCCAACGTTTTTTTAATAAAAATGAGTAATGCTTTTAAGCAAACTGTGATATCTTAGCTCTGTGCGCATCATTGCATGGTGGACAATTATGAGCAGTATACAAGTAGCCAATATTATCATATTATACTATTAAGCTTAAGATTATTAGTTTGGAGGCCAATATCATAATTATTAAGTTCATGATCATTAGTTTTGAAGCCAATAAAACCATGCCTATTCACTATTATGAAAATGGAAGATTGTTTTTGATCTTAACTATAAGCATGGATGGATGATTATTAATGGAACTTGATCCTCTCAGACACCTCATCCCAAAGGGGTGATATAACTAACGATGCAGTTCAAACTACTGCTTGGGGGATAGTGAATAGGGGATTTATGGCTTGGAGAATAGTACTATTGGAAAAGTGGTCTGAAAGGTGTTATAGGTATGGTTGGTATGGTGAAGGTTGAACTAGAATGGAGAAGAAGGTTAAAGGTGTTTTTACATTAGCCTAAGAAAGCTCGTTGCTCAAGATATTAAAGGTAAAGACCAGTATTGGAAACGCCCCAATTTCAAAAAATGAAATGGAAGCTCTCATTACCAATCATGTGAAAGAATATGTTTTGACTAATACATGATGATAAAAAATTTCCCGGGAAACCGCCTACTAATTCATATATTTGGTAAATTTGTTTCTCTCATGGTCTGTGAGAGATATAGGGTAGTCCCATATACATCTTTCTGTGTATAGTGCTTGTAACTTTACAAAGACAAATTTCTTATCATTTTGATGATTCCAGAACCTTGCAGATGCTAGATGCTAGATGATCAACCTTTTCTGATCAATTCCACAACGTTTCTTTCACAATGCAATCGCATAACCATAACTGGTCTTTACCTTTAAACTAATAGCTAGGCTCAAGAAAATAGTCCAAGGTTGATGGGGTCTCCATTAGCTTGACTGAGTAATCCCTGCTCGTTTCTCGATAGTTAGCTAGTAAATCTACAGAGCATGGGCATGATCTTGATCCCCATTGCAGTGCATCTTCACTGCTCCATTTATTGGTAAAATAATGGGCTCTTTCACCAACTAACCTTTACAGTGATCCGGTAACTTTGTGTAAGATCCTTTAAAAAAATCCTTGATTTAGCTCATGCTGCAACCATAATTATAAACCTTTAGGGCATACATGAATCCCATGACATTTACAAGTCGATCGCCTGTCTGATTATCAAGATATTTATGATTGGAAATCGATATCAATTTTTACGTTTTCCTAACAGTTTTCATAACACTACAGTCTGTTGGGGAAAATAATGAGGAACTTCATGATCATTTTGAAGCGCATTTTTTTTAGGGCTTCAATATTACACCATATCACAGACACTAATAGCATGTATAGGGCCATGCATCTCAGATTTAACATTGTTAATTGATGCCTTTAACTTGCTTGGGATTATATACCCCAAGTTACTTAGTACATTATACATATGTATTCCTAGCACAAGGACGAAGAATAACATGCTATTTGGTTCTTCACTATGAATTTGCTATATAAACTCTAACTATAAATGTTAAATCA